ATCCCACTGCGAGCTTCGCAACGTCTTAAATGTTTGGTACTCGTATTCCTGTCTAGATGAGTTTCCCTTCTCTTTTCGGATCGTGACCTTCCGTTGTTTTTTTTTCGAGACTTTCGGTTTCAATCGTGTACGTTGTTTTATTGCAATCAATAATTAAAATTAGAAGTATTAAATTAAGCTTTTTATATTGCCATACCATAATTGAATAATGCCTAGAAATAAATAGAAAGATGTCAGTGAAATTATTACCGCTACAACCAGATAGGTTTCAATTCATGTGGTAATGGATGTGGAAATTCAAGAAATGGAAAGTAACATTGTTCTCTAACGCTGAGTGTTGTAGCGCACTGGCGGCATATATTACGCACTGTAACGAAATAAAGTCGTTAAGCACGTAAAAAAAGACGTCATAGATCATTAGTTTCATACTAGTTTTACTTACGTGTGATCCACTTGTAAGATATTCTTTTCATACGGACCATAATATGTGTTTAGTATTTATCCCTACCCGTGACTATACGCGTTTGCCGATTTCGAAGCAGTAGCTTGTAATGTCATTGGCGAATATTAGATGTAACCACGTGAATTATACAAAACAAATTACCTATAATCATTGGATTTATATGATTAGACCATTACATCCGTGCATTTTTCATTAACGCAAAAGTTTCTGCGTAAAGCAGCTCTCTGTAAACGACATTCATTTTGAATAGATTGGTGTTAACCATACAGCTCTGAGCTGGGAAGTGAAGGGTAATTTTGTACCTTGAACGTGTTGTCCATCGTTCAGTTTAGCGACAGTTACGTGCTTCGTAGTGTATGTGTCCATTCGTTTTGCCTCTGCCATAATACCGTTCTCAATTCCCTGGAGCACTTACTACGTGGCTTTTGTATTACACAGCGTCCTCCTGCCCACAAGTTAAATTCCCCACCGTCGAAAAATATTAATTTACTCTACAGATGACAATTCATTGCAGACATGTGAAATAACTGACCTGGAAAGTTCATAAACCTACCATCCCCGCTGACACCTCCGTTTTCCAAGTCGAATCGAATTTTCAATCAAAGGTTGGCAAGATGAATCCAAGTTCCGACTCGTTAGATGCATTTGCATGCGGTCTGTGAGCGTCAGAGCGTAAATTTTTCATTAGCGCCCCGTTCAGAACGGAAAGCAAAGAGCGAATCTTCAATATCCCCCTCGAATAATCCTGTGAAATGTCGTATGAGCGACGAATGCTTGGTATTTTAGACAATTTTAGACCGAGTTTAAGACCGGAAATTCACTCGGTAATGTAACATTGCTAATATTTTAGAAGTCAAATCACATTACCAATCTTTCTGTTTTCAGAAATAATGAATTTTTTTATAAAATCTTTTCTTTAAAAATGTCAGATGTCCGACGTAGTAAAGTAAAATTAAAACATATCCTAATAGGCAAGAATCATTAAAATGATCTGATTTGCACAAAAATGCAGAATTGTTTGCTGGAAGTTTCATTTCCGATATTAATCAACAGTTTCTTTACGAACTGAGTCAGTTTATTGACTACTTCCAGCACATTCTAGCAGCGGTAAATGTTGACTTATTGGCTGTCCGGGTAACGCCGCGTCGTTGGAGACCGACGCCTCTCAGCCAAACACGCGGAGTCACCCGGACAGCCAAGAAGTCATGAACTCGAGCCGCGGAAGCCTATGTGTACAGAGATGAATGTTGTTTTTAAGTTTGTGCAACTGTTGATTGTCACACCTCCCTGACCATTGGCATAAGAGCTGCAACAGACCACCCGCTGAGCGTGCAGCGGGAATTGGCATTCCCAAGTAGTCTGACAAGCAGAGAATTTTTGAATTAAAATTTATATTTAATATTCTTGTTAACAACGATACAATGGCACGCCTATATCTTAAAACTACAAAGTACTGAATTGCAGATGTTTATGACAAAACTTACAACCAGAATTAACTTCGGAATGGCCCCAGCTACTGAACTTAAACATTCGAATGGAAGTCAGCATTACTTACCGTCAATACCCAAACTGTGAGTGATATTTCTCAAGACTTTTATATTATTACAAAATTCTTAGTGAAAATCATATGGTACCAATCGGCAATCAACTAGAACTGAATCAAAACGGAACGAAGTGTTACCAAATAAAAATAACTTATCTTCAGGATTGAATCGCTTCCGCGTTCGCGCAAAACATAACGAATATCTTAATAGCTAAAAATGACTAGTCCTCAATGACACTGTAAGCCGTTCGCCACTTGAGAAAAAATATATAGCATAGCTTCCAAGAAAAATCAAAAAGACAAGCTCTCACTTGTACCGCGAAAAAAAGCTTGTAAAAGTTTTGTGAATAAATACAAAATATATAATGCACATAGTGCGTCACATCGGAAGGACCTGGTTTCGAGTCCCGACGGCGACAGGAAGTTCGACACCAGATAGCCGCTCTGTGGAGAAGAATACTAGCAGTCGGCTGCTCTGATCGGTAGTTTCCCGTGGTCTCTCTGATCAACACCAGGCGAATGCCAGAAAAGTACCCTATCAAATACGTCTCCGACTGCGCACGATCTTTCCTTCTTCTTCTTTGTACTATTCTCATCCGCTACTTAAACACACTCTTACATGTACAACACAACCACACATGTCGGGAGATCAGACACAAGCTTCGCGCTTGTCCTGGCTGGAAGGTGCATTACTGGTTGGAGATACCTGCGTGAGGACAACCCCATCACGCGACCTGAATGTCGGCGCCGGATCTACGTGACTGATGGCCAGAGCTGTTGACGTGCACAGAAATCGAAAATAACCAATCATCAATGCCCAAACACCCCCCTTCTCATTAACATAATTGCTCGCGATGCCCTAGTCTCACCGACGCCACCGCCACCACCGCTGCCCTGTTTCTTCCGCTGCCGCTGCCACACGCGCCTTCTTCGCCCCCACTTCTTCGTCTTCCCCATCAGCGTCGCCATCGCCATTGCCTTCGCCATCGCCATTGCCTTCGCCATCGCCATTGCCTTCGCCATCGCCATTGCCATTGCCTTCGCCATCGCCATTGCCTTCGCCATCGTCATTGCCTTCGCCACCGCTATTGCCTTCGCCACCGGACCATCACCGCGTCTTCGCCACCGACCCTACCTCCGCCATCGACCCCCGAGCTCACTTTCCCTCGCGATCGCAATTATCATAACGCGACGCGCGTCTCCCGCCGCCGGGTGTTCCCGGTTGGAATCGCCCGGGTCGCAACCGCCCGTGAATAATTCGCGCCGCGCGGCGGCAAGCGATAGAAATATTCTCGGAAAATCCCTGGAATGGATTCCCCGCCCCGTTCTGTTCTCCGCGGATTTCGCTCTTCGTGTGGTTGCGCCGCCGAGTGGCCCGCCCGAGCGAATGCTGCTCTCTCGCGCCGTGATTCGAATGCGCGCCTCAACGTTGTCTGGTTAATTTATGCGCCGGTAGAGTGATTGAACAAGGGTTACGTACTTTCTGCATTTGGGAAGATTTAACGGGGGAGGGGAAGGAGAAGCGGTTCAGAAATGGAAATTAAAGCATGAGTTTTCGACGTATAAGTGGAAAGCTTAATAATGAATCAGGTTTTGGATATACAGTAGATAGTCGTATTATTTTCAATTTTTCTGATATTCATTTGCATAGATGTATTACTTGGCAGAGATAACTGATGGGGAAAGAAAGGTCATCATTAGCATTTCACTTCTGAAGTCGCAATTTATAGTATGTATTTCAAATCTAATTTCTTTTATTTAATTTCTTCTTCATTTACTATTAAACACATAAGTAGACATGCATGAATCTATATATGATTGGTGTGCACAAGTGTGTAAAATACTTGTATACGTGCAGGCACGCATGTGTATGTAACATTTATACATTTGAGAAAATGAGAGGAGTATGTGTTCTATATATGTCAAAGCTGAGAAGAGTGACAGAGAGAAAGCAAGAAAAAAAGAGAGAGAGAGAGAGAGAGAAAATGAAAGAGTTGCGGATATACGGGAAGTGAACCTGACCTCCTCTTCACAACCTGGGGGCTATTGGAAAGAGTTCAATTTATTTTGTTCCCTAATGCAGTTTGGAAAAATACAGTAGCTTCAATAGCAGGATGCCTAAATCAGGGATTTGGTAAGCTAAGCCAGAAATAATTGGTTTTCAGTAATGAAATTTCCTTGTTTAACATTGGTGCGGCGCTTTGTGTGTAAGTCAACACAGCTCAAGAACAATTTTAAACGAAATGAAATTTGTCGGTAAATCCCGTAAAAGCGTAAGCAAACATTCGTTCTATAATCCGTTTAATTGGAACGTGTAACTGCATCTTATTTTAAAATACAAATACATAAATAAATTGCTTATCTTCGCAAAAAATATTGATAGAGTACTATATTTAATTTCACAGAATATCAAAGGAGACTTTCATATTATGAAATGGCCAAATCTCTTAAAACAAAGCTCTTAAAAACATAAACACCAGCGTAGTTATATTACCTTCCAGTTAAACTCTTCAGTCGTCGTTTAATGTTATCTTAACACAATAACCTAATATTCCTTTGCAATGTCGAATCGACCTCGAGTTTCAAAATGTTCATACATGGCTATTACTTTATTCATTCAGAAATTAAGGTTTTGCTTTACTACGGACCAGAATACACGCCTTGTCGTTAACTCATTTATCCAGAAAATTACCAAGGGCAATAGTTGCTTGAGGAGTGTATTGCTCTACTTTGAATATCATCGAACTTCAACATCGATCTCAAAAGAGTACAAATATATCACTAAAATAAAAGAATATTAATATCGCACTTTCCGATTCATCCCCAATTTAACGTCGCGTCCCGCACGATTCGATTTTATATACTAATATCTTTCTTCTTTCCTCGAAGATTCAAAATGATAGAACGGTTCTCTTCGTTGATAAAAATATTATTTTCAAAGAATAAACAAACTACATTAAATGTAGCACTGCATTTTTATACACAATAATAAAATCACCTCTTTGCGTCCCACTTAATAGTTATTTTAATATTAAGTGCGTGAAGGTATGGTTTCTGGCACGATCGAGACTGAGGGGTTTTTGGAGAGACCGAGAGGTCGAGCTCAATCGAGATCTAACAAAAAATATATATTAACTTCACTCAGGAAATATGTATTTTTTGACGATCGTGTAATAATGTTTGTATTATAAATCATGACTTGTTTCATCTCTGCTCTTCATGATGTATTCCAAAATAATCCCACCTTCATTAAAATTTGTATAATACAACGACTACATAACCATCAAAATATTCTTGCCATTAACTTACTAAACCATAGTCACACCACCAGTCGACTTAAACGATATCATACTTTAGATCTGACATATCGACTATAAATTGCTGTTAATCTGAAAAAATGTAATATTAGGAGTACGGTCAATTGACCTTACACCTCTCATGCTATTAAAATTGTATGTAATTTTGCCAAATGTTTATAACTAAACCAATAGCAAAATAAAATGTTATTATACAAAAATTGTATAACAGGAGGCCCTGATTTCGTGACACTAGTTAGTGAACCATTGTTGTTTCATACGAGTTCCTATTGTATAACTGGTACATCATGGTTTTATTACTAAATGGTTAAAATCAATACTGGCATTCTAAGGAAGTTGTATCTAAAGAAAGTTGCTATGAGTTTCATAATCTATGTGTTAACAATAATGTACGGATTATGTGTTAATAGTTAATTATCAGTTAATAGTTATTGGGAAGAGTTTAGAAATAGTGCAGTAAAAGTTGTTTTGCCATTAATGTGTACTGCATCTTTCTTACTTCTCTTGTAACCGTTATCTTGTCTCACCTACCGTGTGTGAAAGCCTTTCGCACGATGATGATACTTTTTCAGATGTTTTGAGTAAATATTAATTTTTCTCACGTGTATTAGCACATATAAACCCATGTGTTCATCAGATCGCATAAAAGGTATTTTCATTTCTTTAAAAATGGTGATCGGAAAAGAAAAAAAGTAGAGAATTATTTATTCATCCCTAATCCGAATCTCACATTCGAAATTTAGCAAAATCGGAAAAGAATATTGGTTGATTCCTTATTAGCAGTTCTTTGTAGCAAAGTTGAAAAGTCACTCTGTAATAGTAGCTTCATTCCACGTAAAAAGTATTCTTCCCGTACTATGCGGTCGCGTGGCAATTTATCAATTCTTCACAAACCCCAATCTCGCACAAACTCTGACATTGTCGGTCGTTGCCTTGTACCTCGAAAATTCCATACAGACTAACAGAAAACGTATCTTATCTCCTCTCATGGACATTCGTAGTTCTGGCCAGCCCGCATCATTAAATCATGTACGTATCTACCCCATAGACAGCAACAAATCATCAATTAATGTTACAAGCCAGAAAAGTTCCACCTAAAAACCTGCAGTAAAAGCATGACTGCTAAGGTTGGCACGAACGGCTGCTACGTAATTTAGTTTCCGAATGCACAATGAATTTAATTATTTATTAACGTTATATTACATTATTTATTTTTGCTCTCAACACACAGAAATCATAAGTTCGAAATAAAATCAACAGGACTGAATTCATAGTGTATTAATTTTCTGTTAGGTTGTAGTACGAACGTAAGTTAATTGCTCTTAGAAATTTGATTATTTCTTTAAGGCAAAAAAGCATTGCGTAGTATTATAATTGCATTGCCAAGTATTATAATTGCAAAATAAAGACGCGCTAATCCCACAATTTATTTCAATTAAAATTCAGGAGAATTTTTTATCTATTTGAAATTATCTGTACATACACCAAAAATTACAATAATATAAGAACATACGTTAATTTAAATAATACAGAAAATATAATAACTGTCACAAATTTAAAACTAATAACAATACAAAATGCTTTATAATTTGCCTTGGAGTTTATACATTTGTATCCACTGCTTCTCAAGTATGATCTGAGGAGGGTCAACGTATAAAGTAATCTTCGAAAGAAAACACTTTAAAAGCTCAAAATGATCATCTCCTAAATTCAAATTATTGAGATAATCCTGGAGTATGTTATAAACACACGTTACAAAACCATTTGGGTATAGAATTTTGTAATAAACAAACAGACCATGAAACTTAAAGATACTCTGACAGTTGAATTTCTTTTAGCATTGCAATTCGATTGGTTTAAGAAAGCATGGATGAAAAAAGTTTCATTATCCCACTAGTTCAATGCGGAACAAACAAATAAGATCTAAAATATATTTTAAATGGATATTATCCTAAAACTCTAGCTTGAAAAGATATGATATCCGAATGTACGATCCATTGCCATACACTAGATACTGGTATTTCGAAGAACGGTTACTATTATTAAAGCAACTGTTTGCAAAAAATAAAATCTTTCAATTTTAGTGTAACGAAAAGGGTCTTCACCATAATTTCGAGCTAGCGTTCTACCTTCAAAATGTTTTAAATCTTATATATGCAGGTTTTTCGGAATTTCGGTTTGCCGGAATGTTCGTTTCTAAATGGTAACGCTGGGCACTAATAGGTCTAATTTTTTAAACTAGACTTGATTTATGAATAGTATGTAAGCTTTAAAATTAATGAATGCTTTATTTTTCATTACTGTATTTTAATAAATTAAAACACATTTCAAGAAATTTTAAATCGATTCTTTCTCTTCGAATCTGCACCATGCATGCAAGAAGCTAAATAGTTGGGTACCTCGCAAACGTAGTTCCCGTTCAGCTGGCTGCCTTCACAGAGTGGCGTTAACCGCTGACTTGGAGCTTCCATATGCGTAAATCCGCGGCACAATCAGCCTGTTACGGCGCCCCTGAGCCCCGGACTGTGTATCAAAATTAACGGCTCACTCCATCACACGCAGCGCGCGGCCTAAGACAGCGGCGGCACACCTGCCTTGCGAATCGGCCGCGGCCACGGAATTCCGGGGCACGACAGGGCAAGGCCGGGCGGGAGAGTCTAGGAGAGGGGAACGGAGGGGTACGGGTCTAGGAAAGTGGCGGAACTGTTGGGATGTCGAGTAAAGAACGGGGTAACCAAGCACTCTGAATCAAGAACGAATAGCGTGTGGAGAGAAACTTCGCAAAAGACACCACCAAACGAGAGGTTCGTGGGAAAAGGGGGTGGTGAGGGGTTCTTTGAGCGGAGATAGGAGACTGTGGTTGAGGCCGCGTGATGGCGCTGAATCGGAAAGACAGTGGGGATGGGATGGGAGGGGAAGTGGCGGGGAGGAGGAGGGGTTGCCAAGCAAGGAATGTCGAGAAGCGAACCAAAGAATAGAGATGTTTGACACAAAATACGAAATTGACTTTATTCGCGTAAAGATAAGACAGCTGCAACTGCAGGATAGACCAGATATACAAGTATTCATGTAGTTTTTGTTTGCAACGCCGGTGAACATGAAATTGCATTAATTTATACACTCTGAAATTGAATTCATGTACGAAATCCTATTACATCTATTATATCCATATACTCTCTGTCTATTATATCCTAGCGTTATCAATTAATGCGTTGATTCCTTGCTCTCAGTTGATTTTGACTGTAGACACTTGCATATCACTTTCACAAAATCAGGGATCATCACAAAAAACAGTCTAGGTTGTAGTTATGTTAATTGAATCGATTTAAAAAAATAAGTTTCTTCACAAGGTTCTAACCCTGAAAAAGACAGGATTTAAGAACACTCTCAGGACCTTTCATTAGAATTAAATCTTAAATCTTCATTTTTCCTGAACCCTTTATTTAGCTTCACTCTAAGCTTTAGAATGTTCTATATTTCTAGAACTCTAATACACACAATATTACAAATATAATTTAACTTTCCTTCACTTATTTTTTCATTAAGAATATAAATGATGTGTTATCTGATTTATTAACGATCTGATATAAACATAGGGTTTACGTTAATTTCATTTAACTTTTTTAAATCATTCTCATACACTATCTTATATTTCTTCTTTATTACATACTTAAAATTTATTATTATTATTATTATTATTATTATTATTATTATTATTATTATTATTACTATTTCGCGAATTGACCATCATGGGGCCAAGCGATACGAGCATTTTACCAGGGCTCAGGCGTCATTATCGGGGTAGGTGCACGTTACTTTTTCTATAAGGGGAATTCGCATTTTTATGCTGATTCTATTTTAGTAGCCCAGGGTTGTTATCCCTGGGGAATGGGATGTAAGTATGATGATGATGATGATGATGATGATGATGATGATAATGATGAAGTAGACACACACGAACATACAGAGACAGACATAACTCAACCATACCCGATCCATCGGCTATTATTATTATTATTATTATTATTATTATTATTATTATTATTATTATTATTATTATTATTATCAATATTATTATTGTTAAATACGAAGGGTTTGAAAAATTTAAAATTTGAGAAATTTGAAGAGATTCAGAAATGTTAGCATTCAGTTTACATACCATCTACCCAACTCGTTATTGATTTCCGCTCATCCAAAATCCACGCCCTTCCGCAGGCCCTGGAGGCGGTGTTGTGCGGCCGCCCTTCACGCCCCGCGGTGCGCCGCAATGTGCACGTGCGAGGAAGAGGCAAACGAGGATGTGGCGCGGAGGAGGCAAACGGAAGCAGCTCCCGCGGCCCCGAGCGGCGCTAATCCACTTAATTAATAGGCGCGCGCGGCGCGCGCGGCGGGGGCGGCCCACGTGACGAATGAGGACGAGGTGGCGCCGGCAGCAGGGGGGTGGTGGTGGCTATGGCAGTGCCAGGGGGGACGGCGGCGGAGGTGATAGCAATGGCTTCGGTCGCGGTGGCGGTGATTGTGGCGGCGGCGATGACGGCAAAGGAGACAGCCATTGTCTGAAATAGCTGTGGTGATGACGACATCATTGGTGACGGTGTTGATAACGGTGGCGATAAGGGTGCGAGGTGGGTACGAGATCGGCAATGGCAGTTCCTGTGGCAGAAGCGGCAACGGAGGTGGCGGTGATAGCAAAGGCTGAGGAGGCGGTGACGACTGCGGAGGCGGCGGCTGCAGAGGCGATGGCGGCGGTCGCGCTGGTGGTGGGGGGGGGGCGGTGATGGTGATGACGGTGGCGTTAGCGATATCTGCGGTGGCATTGTCGAGGTGATGAAGGTGGCGGCGAGGTAATGGATGTGGCGGAGGAAGGTGCGGTGGCGGCGGCAGAGATCGAGCCAGCATCGACCAACAAGCGGGCGACGCGGGAATAATGGGGTCGAACTGACTGAACCGCCTCTTTGCAATTGCACATTATGAGGAAGCAATGAAGGAAAGCTAAGACAAAACACTAGGAAGAAATGGGATTCGGTAGTTGCTTGGAAATATGAAATAAAATGCTTTCAATATAACGAATTAAATTTAAAGTAATGATGTTTTGTTCAACTTTCAGATATTAATAATATTGAAAAAATAAGATCGTAGACAATTTTGAGTTGTCCTCATTAACTATTGCTGTTGGTTCGAAATTAATTACATTAAGAGTTAATGCTGTCAATTACGCACTAGGATTAAAACTATAATGTATGAAATAAATATCAGGAAATTGCAACTGCTCTCTTAAAGCATTCTCCTCACTTCCTTGTTGAAGTTTTGCAGGTACCTTTAAAGCGCAAGCTTCTGCCATTGCTCCTCTCCATGTTGTTACCCTGTCCCGCGCCCTCGCCACCGCGGCGCGACTGCCTCGCACGAGGGCCAACGACACGGCGCCGCTCACACCGTGGCCTTGTTCGACACGCCCCGCCCGGGCGATCGGCCGCCCGCCCCGCCAACCAGCCCCACCCACCGCCCTCTGCGCACAGGGAGCTTCTGCAAGTGGCGGCTCGGTGGCCACCTTGGGCGCCGTTGTCTTCGAGGGTCGTTGCCTGTGTTTAAGAGTCTTCGATTCATTCAACTTCATTTTTAATTTTGAGCTATTTTAAATTTTTAATATTTTGTTTATTATAATACTAGTGACCTAAAACAGCAAAAATTCTTTTGAAAAAAAAAAACACACAAAAATGGTTACCCTTTAAGTAGAACGTACTCTGAGAACAAAAAATTAAATTATTTCATGTAACGTTGTACTAAATGAAATATATTAACAAAAGCACTCGTCACGACTACTGCAATAAACAGATAATAAAATAAGGATACAAAGTACATCGGTTCTTTTCATATAAACGGTATCAGAAATTATGCAGTTCCATAAGAGAATACAGCACTGTGTCTTTATTGCGGGGCGACATCTTCCTTAGAGCGAATTCATTCGATACGCGCAGTGTGAGAATATGCGGAACAACACAATGATATAACTTCATTTTTCAGTCAAAGACGAAACTGTTTCATTGTTATTGTTGTTGGTTATTTTGTTTTATTTTTGTTTTTATGTAGTTCCTTGGTATGTAACGAAACCATAGAGCGTCTCAAAAAATCTCGATGCTGCGTAGTTTTCTTTCAATTTCTGGGAGCATTGTAAAGCAGTAATATAGATATCACATGTGACATATTATAATACATACAGGATACATAGAGAGTATATCCTTCCAAATGAGAAAGAACCCTCCTATTACATGAGTTATTGAATTAAATGAAGAAATGTTCCATATGTAATTTTGCTGAGAAACTCTTCATTGCTACACAGTAGTTTCTTGACAATTTCTCTTTTTCTAGAACAATGCTCTTGCGAATTTGCTTAAATTGGATTGAAGTGCTTAACATATTTCAAACTATTATCTAAGACAAAATCTTTTTTCGTTTACAAAGCACAAAAACGCAAATTTGTGATTTGACGAAATTGTGTGAACACTACGATAGCGTTTTATCGATACTTCGAGTCTTTCAAATTTGCACAAAACCCTGATGTCTTACAAGCTGCGAAGAAATTGTAAGATTTCAAGGAACACGTTCTTCTCGAATCTATGCTTAGAAAGCTACAAAAGATAATTTTATAGCTTTTAGGAGGAACACACTGGTGTGTTTTTTCACCAGTGGTACTTCACGTGTACAGAGATATATTCTTATATTTTCGTAAAATAAATTGTTAATTAAATTATTCTATCACCTTAAATAATTTAAATTATTTATATCAAAAATGCCGAGGACTTAACTTTACCAGCAACATAGAACCTCACATTAAGTTAAATGTAGAACTACGTTTAACTTAGTTACGTTAAACATAGTTAACGTTTAACTAGTTATTCTCTTCTTACTTCTTATTTATCACGTGATTTCTACCTAGTTTTATGATTTACATTCTTTCCCTTAATACTTCTAGAGCAATATATTATAATACATTTGTTCTAATAGTACATGTGAGCATCATTTTACCAGGTGTACAGTGGTGAAGCATGTCTTGAAATTTTATTTACTTCTCAGTCTCCGTATAAACACAGCAATGTGTTATATTTTATTGTCAGTTTCATAACTGAAACATAAAAAATATTTTCTCATTGTAAGCTGTTGAACACGGAAATATAATTAGATTACCCTTCTCTGTCATAAGTTTTCCTACACCGGTATCACTTTTTATAATAAATAATTTCTTCAAGGCTTCAAATTATAATTACAACATAATAAACAGCAACGTGCATGGATTTATGGCTCTGTCTCTAGTTTTGTGCTCCAAAAATGTCAAGGACAGAAACGCCATTATTATTTAGCATCTCCTTAAGCAACCTAAAAAATTTAAGGCTCGCTTCTTTTAAATATAAAATGTTATTCGAAAACAAGTTCATCGAAATATTTAACTGTTATTAACACAGATTTCTTTATACAAGACACGTAAAAAATCCGCTTTGCCTTGAAGCTATTTATCCCTCAATAAACTGTCATCATGGTTAGATATTAATATGTTTTAAAAATATGCTTATATTATTAGCGAGATATACTTTAAAACAAAGCAACTGCTACGGTATACTTCATTTACGTCAGACATTTTGCTTTTGATCTCTCTTTTGTGCTCTCACACTTTCACTTATTCCTTTCATCTCTAATAAAATTTCAAATCTCTCCCCTCCTCTCCCATCTTTCCTGCCCCTCTTTTCTCTCATCCGCCACTCTCGTCTTCTCTGC